AGGCGCGCTGGTGTCGCAAACTAAAAGAGCGCGGGCAAGTATTGAAATAACTTAAACCAATACTAATGGTTTGAGTTATTTCAGTACTTGCGCGGGTTCGGATTGGTTTGGCTTTGGAGGCGGTGCCATCAACTTGGCACCGCCTCAAAATCAAGCCGAACCCGCATGGTATGCCCAATCCAAAGGGAGGCCGGTGCCACGCACACGATAAAAAAAAAGAGTAAGTATATACACGCTTTTTATTATATTTAAAAACCCAATGGCACCCAGAAGCGAAGGACGGCGCTACGGTGGCGGTGCCACCCGGATGGCACCGGGTGGCGCCGGTTTGCTGAGTCGAGGTTTTTGACGCGAAACAGCATGCCACGGATGTGGTTTGCTGTGACGGCGAGCCGGGTCGCAATTTTGCGCGATGCGGCGCGCTTTTTTGCCTTTATGCGTGAGTGCGTCACAACTCTGAAAATTCTGCAGCAGAGAGGCGCTCGTAGCACGCTATGGGCGCTTCTTTGCTGCAGAATCTTGAAGCGGCCTCGAGGTTCGCCAAACCCTTCTTCAGGCTCAAGATAGAACGGAGCGCAAGGGGGAAGAAGAGGAAAAGCGCGAAAAAGTATTGAAGTAGGCGAGGGGAATACTCATGGCGCCTCCGCCCCTCTTGGCGAATAAAAGGGAAAAGGGGCGCAGGACCACGGTGGGCGTGCGGCGTTGATATGCCGTCCCTGCCGGCGCGCGACCTCAAGATGCCTCCGCGGGCTTACTCCTTGCCGGCGCGTGGCCTTCTAGGCGCCCAACGTGCGCGAGACACGGCCCGCGCCACTAAACCTTGGGCCTGCGCACCTTGTAGCCCTTAGTATTGCTCTGCGCTATTTTAATACTTTGGCTCGCGTTCCTCTCGTTCTGCCTGCTTCGCCGCCTTGGTGCCAATCCCCCGGGGCCCCTGTCCCAATGTGGCAGCGGGCGGGCGGGGGAACGCAGCCCCCCCCCACCTTCGGAGCACCCATTGGGGATCGCCTGCACCAATCGGAAAGCCCTGCAGTTCCTTGGCAGTGCGGTTTCACCTCAGCGGGGCCCCTGTCCCAATGACGGCTCCCCCACGGCAGGGCACTCCTGGCAAGCCTGCTCTGGGAGTGGGGAAACATTGGGACAGGGGCCCCAAGGGAGTGACACCGGGCCAAAAGATCCCCAAGCGCGGCGACGTCGCCAGCCCTCGCCCCCTAGCGGGGCGGGGGGCGCAGCGCCTCCTTGCTTGGGGGCACCCATTGGGACAGGGGCCCCATCGCGTTGGCACCGCCAGCACGCCTTGGAAAGCAAAGCCCAGAGGCTCGGCGTGCCCCGCCATATGTCAAGCCTGTTCCAGTATTGACTCAGTGCAAGGCAATACTGGCACGCCCTACGCCGGCGTTTCCGTCTGGGAGTCCAGCCGGAAAGGCATTGGGCAGGCATCCTCAGCGCCCTTCCGGCTAGAATTGCACTGAGAGGGCGCCTGCAGCTGGAACTCCAGCGGAGGGCGCCCCCTCGGTGCATTTCTAGCCGCAAACACAGCAGGGAGGCCAACTGCTCACGCAGCCGGAAACGGTCGCGCTGTCGGATGAGTATTGATTTACTTTAAATCAATACTAATGCGCAGCGCTGCATTACAAATTTGCAAAGCAGCATGGCAAATTTGCAATGCAAGTCCAGACCTGCGGCCCCGCGTTGCAAATTTGCAATGCTGCAGTACAAATTTGCAATGCAGCATTGCAAATCTGCAATGCAAGTCCAGACGGCGGGCGGCGACTCGGGCTGATTTGTGTTGCATGAGCAGGGAGGCCAACTGGTCACGCAGCCGGAAACGGTTGCACTGCGGGGCGAGTATTGCCGTGCTTTAAATCAATACTAATTTGCAATGCTGCACTAAAGCAGCACGGCAAATTCGCAATGCAAGTCCAGACCTGCGACCCCGCGTGGCAAATTTGCATTGCTGCGTTACAAATTTGCAATGCAGAATTACAAATTTGCAATGCAAGTCCAGACGGGGGGCGGCGACTCGGGCTGATTTGTGTTGCATGAGCAGGGAGGCCAGCTGGTTACGCAGCCGGAAACGGTTGCACTGCTGGACGAGTATTGATTTCCTTTACATCAATACTAATTCGCAATGCTGCATTACAAATTTGCAAAGCAGCATGGCAAATTCGCAATGCAGGCCCAGACCTGCGACCCCGCGTCGCAAATTTGCAATGCTGCCTTGCAAATTTGCGCTGCTGCGTTACAAATTTGCAACGCAGCATTGCAAATTTACAATACAAGGCCAGACGGCGGGCGGCGACTCGGGCCGATTTGTGTTGCATGAGCAAGGAGGCCAGCTGGTGCCGGAAGCGGTTGCACTGCTGGGCGAGTATTGGTTTACTTTAAATCAATACTAATTCGCAGCGCTGCATTACAAATTTGCAAAGCAGCATGGCAAATTCGCAATGCAGGTCCAGACCTGCGACCCCGCATTGCAAATTTGTAGTGCTGCATTACAAATTTGCAATGCAGCATTGCAAATTTACAATGCAAGGCCAGACGGCGGGCGGCGATCCCGTGCGAACTTGCAGTACAAATCGGCCCCCGGGCTGATTTGTGTTGCATGTTCGGACGGGATCTAGGTTTGCACTTGGGGGGCGCGTTGTATCACTTGGCTCGTTTAGGCTCCGGACCGAAGGCATTTCCGACCTGTGCTCGGAAATACCTTCGATCCGGCACCTAAAAGGACTACCAGCTGTTTCCCCAAAAGAACCAGTGGCTCTGGCGGTACTGCCAGAGCAATGGTTCCTTTGGGGAAACAGCTTGCAATCCGGCACCCAGAGGAGCCGCGGTCTCCGGCAGTACTTGCGGAAAAGTATTGGCCCAATTTGGGCCAATACTAAAAAGACGTGAAAACGCGCCGCATACGCGATGCAGATCAGCCCTCCTGGGCGAATTTGCATCTCCGACAAGACGCGTTGCTGCGAGTCCATTTTCAGTGCGGTTTTGCACTGCAAATCGACTCGCCCCGCGGAAGCCCGGCCGCAACGGATAACTTTTTTCAGAAATGCGAAGCGTCGGACTTCATTTTGTCCGACGTTTCGAATTTCTGAAAAAGTTTATTCGTTTCAGACGGGCAATCCGTTTTTCGCGTTTTCGCGTCGATTTCCAGGCGATTCGTTTCAGTCTTCCGTTTCACCCCTGTCGCATTTTTGCATGTAGTGGCCTTCCAAAATTGCATTTTCTCGCGTGGTTGTCAGCCCAAAATTAGATATTTGTGCATGACAGCTGACCAAAATCGCATTTTCTTTGGTGATGGATGGCGACAGTCATATTTTCCCACAAGGTGGCTGGCCAAAATTGCATTTTCTTGTTTGGTGGCCAGCGAAAATTGAATTTTCTCCCACTGTGGTTGATTAAAGTTGCAAAATATTGGGCATTGGCCCACCAAAATCGCATTTTCGTGTCTATTGTCCAGCAAAAATTGCATTTTTTCGCTTCGAAGGCAGCCAAAAGTGCACTTTCTTGGGTAGTGGCCAGCCAAAGTCGCATTTTGCCGCAAGATGGCCGACAAAAGTCACATTTTCTCTTGTATTGGCCGGCCAAAGTTGCACTTTCTCATGTGGTGGCCGGCCAAAATCGTATTTTTTCGCATTGTGGCCAGCCAGAGTTACAAAATCTCACACACTGACCGGCCAAAGTTGCAAAATTTTCTTCCTGTAGTTCTATTGTATCAGCATCACACTTCTACACTGGGAATCACTTTACTACACTGGAGACATATGCGGCCGTCTGGTCATATGAATCGCCGAGCGCAA